GAAGAAGGCTGAGCATAAAAGGGACTCCTTTAGATAAATTCAAAATAAAAGGAAAGGAATGTGTATACCAGCTGCTCAGTTAAGATGACAAAATGCTAATATATAACAAACAAAACTCAGAGCCACTTAACTCCTACATTGATCCAGTCTTAAACAATCAAGTTTTCTACCAGGAAAATGTGAACAGCAGAACTGAGAAGGACTGAAGTTTGAGATGGATAAAAATGTAGTTGCAGAACATGTTGCTTCTTTGAATAATTTAAATTGCCAAAATCAGAGGAACCCACTCCCAGGATAATAAAGATACTTGCTTATAGTCCAGCTAAATGAACTCTTATGTATTATTTTTGAGAAATTTTGGAGAACTGGCAGAATGGTGATCACAGGAAAGATAGTGTACTATTGTCTTCACTTTCAAAATGTGGGTAAAGGAAGGTGTAGCAAACTACATACCAATCAACAAACATCAAAAGATTCTGGATCATAAAGTGTTCAGACTTCAAAAACCTTAACAACAATATGGTAAATCATCAGAAGTCAGCATGGATTTATTATTCTAGCAAGGTTTGTTCTTCTCATTTTTCGTTTAAGTTACTTAATAATTTGTGGGAATGCTACAGGCATATCTTGACTTTAGTAAAACATTTGATCTTTTAAAGCTAGGTAGTTATGTATGCTGGATGCATAACAATTAGTAGATATATACATGATTAAAATCATAGAAGCTCATCAATAATTCCTTATCAATCTGGAGATAAGAGACAAACTGAGGTGCTATGAGGAGCAGCTCTAAGTCCTCTATTGTATAATACTTTGATTAATGACTTGGATAGATGGATAGAAGGAAGTCTTATCAAATGTATGGTTGAAAAAAAACAATAGAAAACCTAATACTAGAAATAAAATTCAAAATTATTTTGATAAACTAAAGAAATAAGTTGAAAGTATTAGAATAAAATTTAAGAAAGATAAGTGAATGTTCTTCACTTAGGAAACAAAAACCAATCAAAGTATAAAATGGAGCATGTGTGTTCCTGGCTTAATAATGGTACCTATGTAAAAAAAGAAAGATTGAAACAGTAGCTGTATACAAATAGAACATGAAATCAGCAATGCCAATGTTCTGAGTAAAAAAAAAAGGCAATACTGTTTTAGAAACATTAACAGGAGTATAATTTTCACATCACAGGAATAATTGTTTCAATTTATTCTGCTTTCATCATGATTCATGCAGCCCTTATCTATTGTATATGGTTCCGGTCATGACTACAGAAATTGAAAGAGTTTCAGAGAAGGGTAATGAGGATGATCAGGGGAACAGATCAAGAGCCTATGAAGAGATATAGGAAGAGTTGTTTATATTTAGCCTTAAAAAAAGATGACTGGGCTGGAATATGATCGCATTCTTCAAATATCTTAAAAGATGTCAAATAGAAGAAGGTCAAGGCATGTCAATTGATTTTTTTAATAACTGTTGTAAAACTGTTATAATTACAAGAGCAGTTTGACATGGAGCCAATTATTTGAGAAATGATGGGCTCTTCTTCACAGGATGTGCCTAGTCAGTCACTATTCGTGAATGCTTGAATTTCAATTTCTGCATTGAGCAATGCCCAAAATGATACCTTGCAACTCTCTTATTCTTAGGAATTTATGTGAAAACATTCAAAGCTCATTTCAGAGAAGATTCCTTCACTAAATGTTAAGAGGCAAGATATTAGTTTGGGTTTTATAATAATTAACTTACAAAATATTTCCTGATTCTTTCACTCCTTTCAGCCCTTGCAAAAACTTTCCAGAAGGTTAATTGAACCCTCCTAAACAAAGTGGCAAAATAGGAAAAAGAGAGACATAATCAAAAAATCAGGCAAGGTTTTGTTCATCTTTGTTCTCTTCACCATGTCTCATTCTACATTCTTAATGAGAAAACTCCAAATGCAGTTTTTATGCAGAAGTAGATGGATACATCTTTATAACTGGCTGTGTAAATTATTGCATATTTTTCATTTGAGAACTTTATGAAATATATTTAGCATCTAAAACTTGTTGCTATAAACAGCAGTCCCAGTGCCAAATATGTCCTTGAAGATCCAAATCATTCTAAAACAAAGAAATTGTCAGACTTTAAAGTCACCTAATTTTATTTCATTTTTGCAAGGTCCAAAGGAATCAGGATTAAAGTTTATTCTAAGCAGATAAGAGAAAGCAGTGTGATCAAAGGTTAGTGGCCTAAAATCATTTAGGAGGCCACTTACATTACCCTATATGGATTCTAATGCAAGTGATAACACTGATTATTTAGAATGTTACAGTACCCACATGGCAGATATATCCACACAAAGACACATTTACTATACTTTTACATTTACTATACTTTTACATTTTTTGCAGGTTGCTTCTGGCCCATATCATTGAATTAACTAATACTGCATTATTGAACACAAGCTCAGAAGCTCTCTCATGTTTGGCCTTTGTCTTCCTAAGTTTCTTGCCTGAAACATTTGATTGACACATAACATTATTAGGAAAAAGGCTAAGACTTAAGATGTGCTTCTTATATACAACTTGGGAGCAAGGTACTGAATAGATTTCCTGTCCTTTTGTAGACTTGTATAATTACTAAAATCAAGTGGGTTCTGACACATGGTCACGTAGTTTCGAAGCTATGTAAGTCAGGGGTTCCTATGCCCACTTATAAATATAGATTTTATTTAAAGTTTTTCAAAAAACATAATACATACTAATAAAAAGCAAAAGAAATAAAAAAGCTATGCAAAAAAAGTCTATAAGAGATTTCTAGTCAAACATGAAAATAGTTTTTTTCCCCTAATCAAAGAGGTTAGTTTAACCATCTTTGCATCTTTCCATCTCTTTACCAGTTATTCTTCCATTATGGTTAGTGTTAAGCCTTTCTCCTTTAGACCATATAATTGTCTTGCTATGATTATCATGTATAAAAACAAAGTTCTATGACTTTTTTCTAGTTGCTTATTTGTTAGTCCCAAAAGAAAGCTTTCTGATTCTAATTGTACATTAACCTTTAAAATCTTCTGGATTTCTGGATATGCATTTGTATCCATTTTTAAAAAAAATTTTAGATGCCCACTAAACTTGATAAAATGTGATGCCTCATCCTTCACCCTATTCTCTAGGATGTTCTCACTCTTGAATATTGAGTCTTCCCCCACTATGTTTTTAAATATCTAATGAACTAATTCTTCATTCAAGACTTCCTGGGGTGAATATTATGCATGAAAGTTTTTATATTTCATTTCTTTCCTCCTTTTTAATCAGTATGTTTTACGTTGTTTTAAGTTACTCATTTTGTCATTGTATTTTAATACTATTTATTTTAATTTGTAAAGCTCACATTTCAACAAGTATTATATTTTGCCTTTAATGTAATTGATGCTTACTGAGAGATTCTGTCCGAAAGCTCACAGTGATATCATCACACAATATAAAATTTTACAGAAGATGAAAAAAAAGATATAAAGATGGGTGGGAGATATTTTCCCTTCAAAAATACAAATTAAAAGTTACAGGCATCTTAAAAGGAGGCACTACTTATTGCTTTATTTTTTCATATGTATAAAAGCACATCTATATAATATTGTTTTTTATTGAAATTGTGTGTGTGTATGTGTCTGTGTGTGTGTGTTATAAAAATTGCAGGACAATACAAATAAAAATAAATAATTCATACTAAAAATCTCTGATCAGAATGAAGAACAAATTTGCTCTAAAAGCAGTTTTGAATTCAAGAGTGAGAAAGAGAAAAGTAATCAAGAATTTCAGAGAGGCAGAAAATTATTAACTATGTTGTTAATATAAAACAGGAGCCTTTATTACATTATTACATTCCCATGGTAGGATACATGTTCACATTCCAACTTCAATACATAAACCAAATTCAATGCAATCCTATAATATAAAACTCAAATTGTTTTGATATTCAACAGCATTTGGAGTCACAATGTCATATCAAAAATATTTGCAACAATATCTTAGCAAATTCTAGAAATAGATACATATTTAATCTCTTTAGAAAACAATAGGGGGATTTTGAGTTCCTAGGCTGTATTAGGATTATATTACTACATGAATTTTTTATTCTCCTCCATTGCCGTCTATTATAATTAGCAAGAAAGATCCTAAAGTTATACATAAAAAGTAAAACTAATATGATGTTTCATAGTTTAGGGTTGTCCCAAATCTTTCATATACCACTGATACACCTCTGATCTTTAAAACAAGGCAAGAAGGAATAAATTGGAATTTACTTATGTATGCATATTTTATGGTTTACTGTGAATGAAGAGATGGCTGCCATTTTCAGCAGCAATTCTAAAGACTTATCAAAAATAACTTCTCAATTTATAGGAGTTATGTATTTCTGAGTTCTATTTATTTAGAACTGATTGTTCATCCATCTTGTTTCAAGGGAAGTGCTAAAATATAGCCTTTATTTCAATCCTGAACAGTTTCCTTCATAAGAAATATGTTTACTGACAGAAATACAACTTGTTTTCATACTCAAAATAGCATTTTATCATTCTACCTTTGAAAAGGAAAAGACACCTTTCATGCTTTTCCTATTTAGCCTATCCAAACCTTATACAATTGAAACCCTATAAGACTAAGAGTAACGACACAGTAAATTGCTGTTGTGAGATTGAGATTCTTGGAAAACACACCTTGTGCTGGAAGAAATAGTTATGAACGGCAGACTTGCCGTTGTATTTGTATTTGAACCTTGTATTTAATCCAAGGTTCACTTATTTTAAAGGGCCTGTGGGTGTGAGAGTTAAGAACTCTAAAGTAAAACTCACGCAAGTAGCAGGACAAAGCCTACAAAACGATTAAAGCCCTCTAAAAACAAACCGTCCATTTGATGAACAGCCTTTCTTATAAGTAAAATGAAATTTAAACATCGGTGCTACTCGCCCTACAGCCCCTGTTGAAAAGGTACCTGTCATACATCAACGATCCGGACTTACCTGCCTGCCGCAGCCACTTCGTAGCTAGATTTCGTCGCAGATCCACTTTCTGAACGAAGCCTTGGAAAGTACTACCGTATACAGGAGAACACCTGCGGGCAGTGCCGCTCCCTCCCTCGTATCGCTGTTGACTGACAGCTATAGAAATCAGTCTCCTCGTCTTCCCAGCAGTAGGAGGCGGGTTTATAACAAACACATCGCCGTTACAAAGGGCTCGGGAGGAGAGCTGCTAGGGATCAAATTTCAGCCGCAATTATCCTCATGAAAACGAAACTAATTAAATTGCATGGGTGTTCTGAGCTGGTGACGGGTCGGATGAGTTTCCGACGGGTGGTTTTTACCTGGTTCATTTATTGCGCAAAAAATAATGCGATTTAAAAAGTTTTACAGAGATCGAGACTCCCTGTTTTAGAACACCTTTCCCCAGCTCGATAACCCCAAGGTACTGGAGCATTACAATTCCTACAATCTCCAACAGTTATAGACAGTTGCTGTCGTGGTTGGGGATTTGGAATCTGCGCTCCTTCAGTCTAATTGAGTAGATCTTAAGGGAATGTGGTTAGAATGGGAGCTGAGTTGACTAAAATAATTCCTTGTACAAATTCACTCTGGTTCAGTTAAAAAAAAAGTTGCGTTCACATTTCATTACACCTTATAGTTTGGGTTTGGTTTGGTTGCATGAATCCAATTGTAGGAAGTTATCACCCAGCCCACTCCCAGAAAAATGAAATATCCTAGGAAATATTAAAAAGGCAGAATATTTCTCTGGATGTGAAAAGGAAGAAACATGTTTTAAAAGACAGAATAGCTCCCTGTAGCTTCTTGTCCATCCCCACTTTGTCAATGGGCCATTAAGAAGGCCAAGCGAGTCCACTTTACATAATAAAGAGTTCTCCCCTTCAGCTCCAGGGGATGGGATTAAGGCATGATAATATTGGTCCTTTACCCAACTCACCACATGGCATCTGAGAACTCAACCAAACCTGGATTCAAAACGCAGCTTAGAGAGTTGCCCCTGCATGGCCCCATGGGAGTCTGACAACCAATCAGAATACAAGCTGAAGATCAAAGGACAGAGAGGGCATAAAACCAGGGACTCAGCATCTCAGCCCTTCCTTCTCTTTTCTCCACCAACATTGAGGCATGTGATCAACTTTTCTGTTCAGGACTCAAGCCATGTGGTCCTGTCCACTATTAAACCATCTTTCCAAGCAGCCTCTGTGTCTCCAGTATCTTTTTCCCCACTTGGAGCTGAACCCAAAAGGACATTTATTTCAACACAACCATTATAAATTTGTAAACTTTGTATTGTAACTATGTGCAAAATTGTGATTCATTCATTTACACAATGAGTAAACAAATGAGCATGATGTGAATTAAGCCCATAAAATTTACTGATATGTAAATAATTTTTATTGGAATCTATTAAATCATTTTCTTAATATTACGTTCTTAGATGGGAATTTCTGGAAGGTGGTTTCAAATTTCAATTTGCAATAATTAGAAATGGTAATTCTCAAATGTATTTCTCAAATGTGGTCCGACACCTGGAAAAATATGCCATCCTCCAGGGAAAGATTGAAGGCAAACAAGGTCCAGGCAGAAGAACATCATGGCTTTAAAATCTAAGGGACTGGTTTGGACAAAACTCAGTAGCACTTTTTCCTGTGGCTGTTGATAAAAATAGGATCACCGACATCTGATCACTGATATGGCACAGGAAGAAGTAGTTCTCAAAGCTCAAACAATGAGAATAATGTCCAATAACGCTCTGTGCTTGACTAAAGTACTATGTTGAACTAAGATAAAGTAGCAGTACAAGCAATCTCATTAAAAACACTGGCTTAAATTTGTTGTGGCAACAATAATTCAGATGGTTGGTTTCATCCCACTTGACCATTAAAGGCTCTCAGCTAACTTTGCAATCTCAGATTTTGATGAGTTCTGGAGATAATAACAGTAATAATTGATTAAATTTATGTCATACCCAATTAAAAATGACTGTGAGATGGAAGTTCAGCCACAGGGGTCCCTATCGATAATGGTAAGTGCTTGCTCTTGGTCCTGTATAAAACATTATCCACTACAAAAGAAGTCTGCATTCACTTGCAGTCATGACACGAGGTAAGGCAATTTGCTCCAACTGAATGCTCTTCAAATATGTTTGACTACAATGCCCATAATTCATTTTATTCACAATCCACCTTCAATCCTGCAACTGCTAAAGTGTTGGGACCTTATCTTATTATCTAATTCTTAGCCTATTCCTTTTGTTAAATATTTAGAACAAATTTAGAATAATGTTAAGGGTTGGACAGACTTTCTAATGTATTTTCAGCCATGGAGGTTCACTGGATAAACCTATCTTACAGGGTGATTTTTTGGGGGGGAAATAGAAGAAGGGGCAGTATTTTGAGTTCCTAATGAAACAATTATTTAATAAATAAAGCTTGAGATATCAATGGATGAAAAAACACGTTAACCTAAGCAAAAAATGTATACTTGTCATGATACACCAAAGAGCCAAATCATATCTAAGATAAAGATAAATTTCTGTGAACTGTGATTAAATTCATGTCTTAAGCTGCATACGTTTCTCATGCAAATATAGCCAATTACTGAAGCTGATTTGCAAGTACTAAATGTGTAAGATGGATGCATTAGAATCACACACTATTATTGCAAAATTTTTGACATTTTGATGCATACAAATCCTTTCCAGCCTTTCTTCGTAAGGAATAACCTGATATTGAAGTAGTTTAGAGGTAGTTCTCAACTTACAGTTCATTTAGTCACCATTCAAAACTACAATAGCACTGAAAAAAGTGACTTAATCATTTTTTCCACTTATGTCTGTTGCAGCATCCCCATGGTCACCTGATTTACATTTGGATGCTTGACAACATGTATACATTTATAATGGTTGTGATATCCATCAGTCATGTGGGTTCCCTTTTTGTGACCTTCTGAGAAGCAAAGACAAAGGGGAAACCAGATTCACTTAACAACCATGTTTCTAATTTAAGAACTGCAGTGATTCACATAAATGGGGCAAGAAAAGTCATTAAGTGGGTCAAATCTCACCTAACAATTTTTTCACTTAACAACAGAAATTTTGGGCTCCCTCCTTTCTAAACATGCTTTGTGGGGGAACAGCAGACAAGAAGCATAACCTAGTCAATTGCTAATTCAGTCATAGCTCCTTACCAGTATTCTCAGCACTTGAGCACACTAGTCTTTTCAGTTTTGATATTTTTAAAGACAATCCTGTCTCTCCAGACGTTTAGTGCGCATACTGAATTTTGTTAGTAGAACTGTATGCAACCCTTCTGTGTACTGTGATATGATTAGCCTGCTAGGAAACAGCGCGGGTTTGAAGTAATCGAAAGTCGATTGCAGTGACGTATTTCTGCATTGGACACATATGACAATCGTATAGAGAGACAACTTTGAAAAAAAAGCTACTGCATCACTCGGGCAAACTTACAAAACATAAAACATATAATAATTAGGAAATAAACTCCGCCGAGTTCAGCGCAGGACGCAGGTAGAATTGAAGTTTCAAAAATCAAACGCTGTTGTTTGTTTGTTGCATATGGCATATGCAAATTATCTAATATGAAGTTCTCCGGGGGAAGTAATCAATCTACACGAAGGGCTATGCGGTAATTGTGGAAGAAACACGAATCTCCTTTGTGGGAAATTTGGCTCAAACGAGCCACCGTCCTTGAGTTTCCTGTCGGCTATGAAAAGGGGTGGAGACAGCAAAGGGGTGGAGACAGCAAAGGGTCGAAACGGAGCTGGCGGGAGACCCGGGAGAGTCAAGGATGGCTGACCAGGGGCTCGAAATGACTTCCATGATCCCAGCCCTCCGGGAACTGGGCAGGTCTGTCAGGCTGAAAGTCAAAAGTACTTCACTCTTTTGCTGCTTGCCTTCAGGCTCTTTCTGAATCTCTGTATTTACTATATGTAACCAAGTTTTCTTCCCAAGAGCTTGTTTCATCATTAGTTGTCTTATCTGGGTCTGTTGAACTGCAATTCAGAGACTGGCAAAAGTGAGGAGGTGAACAATTCTGCAACAGAATTCTAAATCCAAAAAACAGTTGCTATTATTTTTTCCTAGCCCAGAAAAACTTTAAAATTAGCACATTTTATTGTGTTAATCTTTTAATTAATTGCAATTGAATATTAATTACTATACCTTTTGTTTGCTTTTACTACACAATAGTTATGCTTTACAGCATATGTACACTCTTATCTCACGTCCTTATTTTATTTTCCTTAAAATGTTGCACTACCCACCTTTCTGGGAATTTAGTACATTGGAGGACCCTGATGAAACTTTAGAAAGAGTGCAGAGAAGAGGAACAAAGCTTATTAGGGGACTGTTTTCCTAAAACATAGGAAAAACGGTTGTGGGAATTGGGTATATCTAGTTTAATGAAAAGAAGGATTAGGGGTGAATATGATAGCAGTGTTCCAATATCTAAGATGCTGCCACATAAAAGATGAGATCAAGCTATTTTCCAAAGCATTAGAAGGCAGGGCATAAAGCAGTGGATAGAAACTATACAAGGAGAGAAATGACCTAGAACTAAGGAGAAATTTTCTGACAGTTAACAATCAGTGGAGCAACTTGCCTCCAGAGGTTGTGATGCTCCAACACTGGATGTTTTTAAGAAGAGATCGGACAACCATTTGTTTGAAACAATATAGGATTTCCTGCTCCAGTAGGGGGTTGGATGAGAATAAAGCACTATTCTCATTTGAGGGGCTCATATACACAGGGAGAGGCCAGAAAAAAAGTGAAATGCACAATCTAATGAATACACTAACAATTCTAATTGCATGTAAGTACTCATTCACAAAATCACTAATAATAGAAGCATACTTCACATTGGTAGCTTGGTTCCATCTCTTATTGGATAATATGCTTTTGATATGTTTCACAAGCTACTTAAGACATTGATACCCTGAACAAATTGCTGTCAACTGAAAATTCATTTTCTAAAAATAGAACTTATTTTCCTTAGAGACTGAGCAAAATTATATAGTGCTTGAAATTCATTATTTTTATAACTGCAATGTTTTAAATAGTTCATATTGTACCTTTTATTTGTTTACAACAGTATACAGTAGTGAGTGTGTGTTAATTATATACATCACTATTATTCTGGTCTGTGACAATAATAAATATTAGATTTGATTTTACGCATTTCAGTATAAGAGGTAGCTTTTTTGATAACATAACTTTTAAATGCATCTTTATTTCAGTGCTACACCTGAAGAATATAATACCGTAGTACAGAAGCCAAGACAAATACTCTGCCAGTTCATTGATCGAATTCTTGTGGATGTAGATGTTGGTGAGTAAAATTAGTAAATGGTCTAGATTCAAACTATATGTGATTTCTGCTACATGGTATTCCAACCCTAAAACATGACCATGGACAAAATCTCTAACGCTATACGGTCTTATTATTCACTCATATCACAGAGGGAGAGAACTAGATAAAAATATTCTTTGTTGTAAAATGAAATATTAACTTTCACCTTAATGAAAATAATTCTTAGATAGGGATTGATTAAAATGTAATTAAGTCATTTTTGGTTAGTCTAGTTATGCTTTGTTGGGTCATTGTAGTTTGAAATAAGCACTCCTTACAGATAGTTATCACTTAATGACCATTCTTTCAGTGGCTGTTTGAAATTACCATGGTATTGCACAAAGGGATTTATGACTCTTGCCTAGAATTACATGGTCACACGATTGCAATCTGGGCACTTCACAACCTACTTGCACTTATGATTGGTTACAAAGCACCCTGTGATCATGTGATTTCCATTTGCAATCTTCCTGATCAGTTTTCCTAGAAACTGATTGAGGGGGCTGGCAAAGTAGACCACAAGCCATTGCTGCCTGCCTAGAGGACTCCTCCTAGTCTGGGGAGTGACTCAAAAAGGTCTGTCCTGAAATCCACACAGGATTTTGGCATGGAGAGTTTGCAGCATAGGGCCCTAGAGAAAAGAGCCCCCTTTAGAGCAAAAGGGTTGCCTGTCAAGGGGATTCAACCCCAGAGGGATTCAGCTCTGTGTGGGACTGAGTCCTTTCAGCAGAAAACTCTTTTGCTCTAGCCCAGTGGTAGTCAACCTGGTCCCTACTGCCCACTAGTGGGTGTTCCAGCTTTCATGGTGGGGGGTAGGGGTTTTGTCCGATACTGAAGCACTTTCCTTTTTTAAATTTAATTGACTTCCCTACTTTATAAATCACCATTACTGTGGAACCAGTGGGCGGTTAGAAAATTTTACTACTAACAGAGATACAAAAGTGGGCAGTAGGTATAAAAAGGTTGACTACCCCTGCTCTAGCCACTTAGCAACCTGGAAGATTGCTTAATAATTGCAACTCCAGGTGCCAGTTATTGACCAAAAGACTCACATGATATCTTGCTTAATAAGTACTTCATGCAGTGACCAAAATTTCTGGTCTCAATTGTGATTGTAAGTCAAGGACCACCTTTATTTTATTTTCCTGTATGACTTATTAGAGGAAGAAAGAGGAAAGGAAGCATGAGAAACAAAGCATTTAACTTCAAGGAATCCATTTGTAATTGTACAGACTTGTTATAGAGATCCAGGAAATGCTACATATTTCTTGAAATAGGAATAGGTTTTGAACTTTCTGTTTAGATTATTCTCTCTTTTTAGTGGCTGTGGAACTTATGAAGAAGACTGAATCTCAACCAAGTTCTGTAATGTTGCTTGACTTTATTCTCCATATCATGAAATCATCTCCACTTGTGTTTGTAAATGGAACTGGACCTGATCAGCAAAATGACACAGAGTCCAGCTGTATTGGTGAGTTTATTGAAACATATCTATTGGATCTATAATTCAACAAATTATAGCATATTGACATGTGAATTATATATTTTATATCAGTAAATAAACAAAAATGTAGCTGAAAAAATGCACTTAATTTTCTAGAAAGAATATGAATTAAAAATGAATGGAAAGGGAAATAGCACAATTTATTGAACTACCAGATATGATCTGCAAAAATCCAAAAAAATCAATAGGTGGCAGCAAGAAGATTTTAAAAAAACCTCATATGCCTGGATTTTTAGTCCTAATTAATATTATGATCATAATATTTTCTTTTTACTTTTCTTTAGAATTCAGCAATTGGATAATAGCAAGACTTTTGAGAATTGCTGCAAGTCCAAGCTGCCACATTTTACATGAGAACATTTGTAATGTCATTTGTTCTTTACTCTGCCTTTTCAAAGTCAAGAACTGTGTCTTGTTTAACTTGGCAACAAAAGAACTGCTGTATCTTCTTCAAGATCTGATTTCAATCCATGAAAAAAATATAGAAACGATTTTGACATGGCCTGCGATTGTGAGCAGATTTTCTTGCAATTCCACTGTAAATCTGGGCAATTTAAGTTCTGTCCAACTACAGTTAAATGGAATGAATAATGTAGAATGCTTGGAAACAACTTCAATAAGGATTCTTACTTGTATAGTTTCTTACATGTTTTTCAAACCACAAGATATTATCCTTTTTGGAATAGGGTGCTCCCTTTTGGACTATGGTAGTCCTAAAGTTAAAATTTTGAGTATGACATTTTTAACAGAACTCTTAGAACTTGGAGGACTTCCAGAAGACCTAGCCAATAATTTCTTCTCATTTCTATTTGGATTTTTACAATCCATTCCTGTAATGGATTCTACAAAGCTGGAATTATATGAAGAACCACTCTTAATATTAGTGAGAACTTTATTTCCTTTTCAAATTAATTCCCATGAAACATTTGAACCTATTTATCTAAACATATTACTGGAAAAACTTCATGCATTGTTTGAAGCTGATGTGCTCAGGTTTCTCCAGTCTATGAAAATAAAAGAAGTATTATGTCACATACTACATTATTTCTTGATGTATGTGCCAGCTGGATATGAATCTGCTGTTCCGGTTAGAAAGACTTCTATTAACAACATTTGCAGATTTTTCATCTCAACAATTGGATGCCAGGTAGAACAAGAGGTAAGTGTTATTAAAAGGTTAACAAAAATTTGCCATAAGATTCTGACTAAGGGAAAATTATTAGATTTAGTGTTAAGTAGGAGCTAATTTTCTCCAATGTTAATGCCATCGGGCTTTGTAGCAGTAGCTTCTGCTTTCTGTACTGACACAAGCAAGAATAACTTAAACATTTTAGTGGTTTAAATTCATGAGTTTATAGTGTAATTTCAGTATAGGACTGATTTAGTAGAGTTTATAATTGAGTGGTACATATTTATCTTAAAAGTTTAAAATAAATAAACCTGATAATCCTATTTAAATATCTATGATTTTTATGAAGATGGTATATAGTATAATTTCTTCTTTTTGATAAAGTATCTGCTGAGTCCACTCTATGTAGTGCTGAAGACTGTGACAGCAGAAATCATCCGGGAGCTGCAGTGTAGCTGTTATTCAGAGACTTCCGATACTGATGGGGGAAGTAGTAGCAGTAGTGATGATGTCCCACAAAAAAGGCTTCGTTTATGTCTATCCTTAAAACATCCCAAAAAGTTGTCAGCGCCACCAAAGTAAGTTGGTAGCTTTTAAGAACCAATCTTATTTTTGGATCTATTTTGAATATGCTTCTTGTGTCCAGTTTCTTCTGAATCTTAATACTGTTCTCTAAGATGTTTGTCATGCCCATTAGAGTATCTGTAGATTTGATTAATGTAGTTTCTAATCTCTCATTCAAGTCTTTTATAAATAGTTGTACAAAGGTCTGTTGTACACTTCTTGGTATCTCCCAGTTTAGTGTATCCTTGTTATACAATTTTTCAGTCAACTGTATTTTCATCTAATAGGTAAGTTCACATTTTCCATCTTCTATACTAGGATTTCAATGTTTGTTGAAGTTAAGATATAACTACTATATTCCAATGGTTAAGTAAATAAGGATTCTTACTTGTATAGTTTCTTACATGTTTTTCAAACCACAAGGTATTATCCTTTTTGGAATAGGGTGCTCCCTTTTGGACTATGGTAGTCCTAAAGTTAAAATTTTGAGTATGACATTTTTAACAGAACTCCTAGAACTTGGAGGACTTCCAGAAGACCTAGCCAATAATTTATTCTCATTTCTATTTGGATTTTTACAATCCATTCCTGTAATGGATTCTACCAAAAGGAAGATAAAATTGCTTTGAGCTGCAGGCGTGAAATGCTATATCATCTTTGCTACTGGTTTGGAACTGCGAGCGCACATGCTTCACACATGCGCAGCACTTCTCTGCATGTGCAGAACCTTCTGTGCATGCACAGAGCCTCCATGATGACATCTGGGCAGGTGGGCACAGCCTCTCGCCACCACCACTACTGGTTTGCCCAAACCGGGGCTAACAGGCTGAATACCACTTCTGATGAGCTGTCCTTGATAAACTGATGTTGGTTCATTCCAAGCACTGCATTTATTTTTAAATATTCACAAACCGCTTAATTGTTAACATTTCTGTAAAAATTATTTTGTATTAACTTTAAAAGAAATAGATTTCAAACTTTTAAAGTGCCTTTGTCATTATAATTCAGTTTCTTATTCCAGAGTTCTTGAAAAATAACTAATATTTTAAAGTTAACCTGGATCATATAAATAAAATTATAATACTGATAATAATTCAGATTTTTGGACATCATTAATGCATCTGGATAAAACTGCTTAATTAAGAAAGGTTTATTTGTTTATAAAATCCAGATTCCAACTCAAGATGACTTAAAGTATTAGCATCTATAATTGTCCTTTGAAATCCTATTTGTTGTGGTGATTAAGGCATCAAATTAAAAACTATGAAACATGAATTCTAGTTCTACATGAGGCACAAAGCCAGCTAAATGACATTGGGTCAATCACCCTCAGCCCTGGGAAGGATGCAATGGTAAACCCCTTCTGAAAAACCTTGCCAAGAAAACTGCAGGGACTTGTCTCGTTGACGCCAGGAGTCAAAAACTGACTAAAGGAAGCAATAAAAAGAAAATTCTTAACTGCCCCAACACATAAAAAAGAGATTACCTGCTATTTTCAAATTTATTATCTCATAATATAATTTTTTCATGTAAATACAGGTCAAGATTTTATCTCTGTCCCAACTTTTTCTTAATGCATTCTGGAGCTTTTACTGTAAGAAATACAATTAGAACAATGGCTAAAAAATGCAGCCAAGCTTCTATCATGATTTCTGAGGAGTCACATAATAACTTTCTAATTCTGTCCACAGTTTTTTTTTCTATCACATGTTCCATAAAGAAACAAAAATCTAAATATACTTAAAGGTAAGCCTAAAAATCAGGACAATTAACGCCCCCATTCTTATATACATTATAGGGCTACATACAGTTCTA